TGGAAGGTAGTAGCATCATGGCAGCCTGCCATCCCAGCTGCTTGGGAGGCTGAGGCCAGAGAATCAGGAGCCTGGGGAGTCTGAGACCAGCCTGGGCAACATAGGGAGACCCTCATTTCAAAACCAAAATAAAATAAACACCGGCGACAACCAACTCTGAAAGTTACAGTTCACAAGCCACCTCACACAGTGGAAAGCATACAGCACACCAGATTTAGCCCTGAACGGGGAGGAGATGGGGAGCAGGCTCAGTTTCCAGTCTGTGTACAGCAGATCCCCTTTGGAGTCCTCTTCCCACAGAGGATGCCCTGAACCCTTCTGAGGTCCCAAAGGAGTCCTGCCTCTTGTGGCCCCTTTCATTCTTAGTCCTGTGGGCTCACCCCACATGTCCTTTGCACACGGGCTCCCCTCCACTCTCCTGGCTCTTGTCTTCTTTCCCTTTAGAGCCTGCTGTTGGTGCGTGACCACAGTCACGTCTGTGGGCTCCTGTGCCCTCTGTCTCCCTCTCCTGGTAGCTTCCTGACTGCAGGGACTCTGGTTCTGCCCATGCTGACATGGCAGGTAATATCTGTGGAGTCAGTGAGTGATAAAAGGGTGCAGCAGGCTGCCCTGCCTTCCAGGAGCCACACTCCTTACCGGGCACTGACGGTCTGGAGACCCATCAGGACTGGATCTCACTTTCATTTCCTTCTTTCGCCTTTGCTTCCTCCAGGTTTGTTTTGTTTTGTTTTGGCAAGGTTGGAGTCTGAACTCAGGACCTTATACTTGCTAGGCAGGTGCTCTACCACTTGAGCCATGCCCCCACTCTGCTTTTGGCTGTAGATATTTTTCAGGCAGGTTCCTGTAGTTTTTTCAGTGCTGGTCTTGGACTGTGATCCTCCTACTTATAGCTTTTTGTGTAGCTGGGATTAGAGACATGTACCACTGTGTGCAGCTTATTTGTTGAGATGGGATTTGTTAACCTGGTTGGGCCAAGCTCTGTGATTCTTGATATCTACCACTAAAGCAGCTGGGATTACAGGCATGGCCCACTGTTCCTGGCATTGTTTCCTCCAACTTTTAAAAAACAGCAGTGTGTAGCTGTCCTCTATTATCAATGTAAATGATGTCAAAATGTAATAGTATCAACTATGAACATAAGTTGTCAACCTTGTCAATAAGAACGAACCTTTAGAAGCAGAATCCTCACTCACTGGGCCTATCCAGGCAAACAAAATAATGATGTTTAAAAAATAAATAACAACTATAAAAAAAAACCAGGCGGAGAATGTGGCTTAGTAGGAGAGTGCTTGCCTAACATGCATGAAACCCTGGGTTCAATTCCCCAGTACCACATAAACAGAAAAAGCTGGAAGTGCCTCTGTGGCTCGAGTGGTAGAGTGCTAGACAAAGAAACTCAGGGGCAAAAGAAGCTCAGGGACAAAGCCTAAGACATGAGTTCAAGCCCCGGGACTGGCAAAAAAAAAAAAAAAAAAAGTAACTATGGCCATACCAGTGGCTTTTCCAGTAATCCTAGCTACTCAGGAGGCTGATATTTGAGATTTGAAGCCAGACAGGGCAGGAATATCTATGAGACAATTAACCACTAAAAAGCTGGAAGTGGAGCTGTGGCTCAAGTGGTAGAGTACCAGCCTTGAGGGAAAAAGTCAAATAAGAGCACAAGGCCCTGATTTCAAGCCCTAGTACCAACACCAAGAAGAAGATGAAGAAGAAGGAGGAGGAGGAGGAGGAGGAAGAAATTATTACCACTGAATAAGTTCATGACTGATTCTTATTCAAGTTTATTAAGGTTTCTGAACTTGATTTAGTACAATGATTGGTATGAATAACACAAGTAATCAATTAATTGTGGAATTATTTCTCAGGATGGCCCAGACTTGATCATGCAGTGGGCATCAGCAGAGGGGCAGGTCTCAGCTGGCCTTGTCATATAAAATTGAAAAACTGGATCTTCAGATCTCAGCCTCTTGAGTGGCTGGGATTACAGACATGAGCCACTACACCCCTACCACTTCTTAGAGAAAACCTCCTCTCCCCGATCTACTTTGGGAAGAGGCTTTGTCCAAAAGAAGGTGCAGGAAGCCATAAACCAGCCTTCCTAGGCCACTTCCTGGGTCCTCGGTGCTCATGGGGGGCGGACAGAAAGTGGTTCAGCATCAGGAAACACCACTGGTCCTGCCCCAACTCAGGGTGATCACTGCAGAGGGTGGCTGCTCCCTTTAAAACTAATTAGTTAATTCACTAACTAATGAATTTTTTGTACTGGTATTACAGATTGGATTTATGCCCTGGATGCTATCTCTGAGCTTTCTATGCTCAAGGCTGGCACTGTACCACTTGAGCTCCATTTCCAACTTTTTGGTGGTTAACTGAAGATAAAGATTCTCCTGGACTTTTCTGCCCAGGTTAGCTTTGAACTTCAGTCCTTGGATCTCTCTTAATCCTCCCAACAGCTCTGAGAGGTCAGTACTCTGCAGATGGAGATGATCGTGTGAACTCAAATGGCCAGAAAATGGCCTGACGGCACTCCAGCCAACCCCATCTGTCCCCATGAGTCATGCTGCCTCTTTAGCCTGAGATCCCGTCTGCAGCAGGGACAGATGAGAAGCAAAGCCACTTCTCTTTCATGACTGGGCGCAGTCACGACAATCGCTCTGCATTGTGATTAGGCCCTTTGTGTTCTTATAGGGAGAGGACATGCTGGAGGTTCGCTGTTCTCTCAGGAAACACGGCTAGATGGGGAACCTCAAACCTGATCAAGAACATCTCCCCAAAACCTATAGCTCATGTCATATGTAATGGCAGAACACAGAATGCTTGCCTCGAAAAGCCAAGGCAAATAACAAGGATTTGTGCCACTCCCTCAATCTGACTCAGCAGAGTTTAAGAACTCCTAGCCCATGCCATGTAATATAGCAAGAAAAGGAAATTAAAGTCTTAGAGGTCAGAAAGGGAAGCATAAAGCTTGTTTTATTTCCTTGTTAGGTGGTTATTTACTTGTAAAATCCCACGAGTTCTACAAAAAAAGAAAAAATAAAGCACCTCTGGGAAGTTCAGTTCAGGTTAGAAGTTGTCATCTAAGCAAAGGAAATGTAACTGTATGTCTTTGTACAGGCAATGAACAGGTGGAGACCAACACTAAAGTGACGAGGGCCAGGTGTGGTGATGCACATTTGTAATTCCAGCTACCCAGGAGGTGGAGATAGGAGAGAATGGTGGTTAGGGGCAGCCCTGGGCAAAAGCACACAATCCTATCTGAAAAATAAACTAAAAGCAGAAGAACTGGGAGGGTGGCTCAAGCACCACCAGGCCCTGAGTTCAATCTCTAATATTTCGCCAGTCCCCAAAGTACAAACTATCATGAATGAAAGACGCAAATGAAGCCAGACACCCATGGCTCACCTGTTACACCTTAGCTACTCAGGAGGTTGAGAGCTAGCCTGGGCAGAAAAACTCTATGAAACTCTTATTTCCAATCAATCACCAAAAAGCTGGAAATGGAGGTGGCTCAAGTGGTAGAGCGGCAGACATGAGTGAAAAAGCTCAGCAAAACCCTAAGGCCCAGAATTTATGTTTCAGTAGCAGCACGTGTGCATGTGTGCGTGTGTGTGTGTGTGTGTGTGTGTGTGTGCACACATGCTCACACAAACACAAATGATTTAGTGTGAATCTAACAAAAATATGTACAGTACTCCTATGCTGAATGTTTCAAAACACTTGACACGAAACCAAGAGGAGTTCAATAAACAGAGAAATTTAACCAGGAAAGAGATCAATTCTTCCTATATCAATGTATAGGCTTTAACGCAGTGCATAATTCCTAACAAAATCCCAATAAGGCATTTGTAGATGCAGTCAGGATTATTCTGAAGTTTGCATGGGACGGAAAAGGAATGGGAATAAGAAAACAGGAAATTTAAATGGGAGAAACCACCATATCTGATCAAAGCCAAATAATATCAGTAGACGGTGTAGACATCACTCAGTCTGTCGGTGTGAGCGAATGAGTGTCACACACATATACACACACACAAGCACTGTATCTGGGTCAACAGTCTGTTTTTGATGGTGTGATTGTCACCCAAGGAGCAATCCCTGGGGGAGATGGGAGAGGCCCACACTCAATCTCTCTCTGCTGTGTTTAGGACTTCTTGTGACTCTGTCATGATTTCAACATAAAAACTTTAAGAAGTCCATTGGGCTGAGTGCTGGTGGCTCATGCCTGTCACCCTAGCTCCACAGGAGGTTGAGATCTGAGCATCTGGGTTCCAACCCAATCTGGATGGGAAAGTCTATGAGACCTTTCATTCCAAGTAGCCATCAAAAAGCCACAAGTAGAGCTGCAGCTCATACAATAGAGTACCAGCCTTGAGCAAAAAAGCCAGCATGAACATGAGGTCCTGAGTTTAAGCCCCAATAGTAGCATGCATGTGCATGCACTTTCCACTGTTTTAAAGCAACTCTTGGCTTTCTCTTTCCCTGCTAACATTTTAACCCCCTTCAATATTTAAGAAAGCTCAAGCCACGGCTTTTCCCATTCCTTTCTCTCTGCAAACTCCTTGCCTAGGGAAGAGTGGAGGTTCCAGAGAAATCACAGCTAAGTGAGGGCATACAGTGAATGGAAGGATGACACAGCTAAGCTCACGGCTTCGCCTGGCCTACGCATGGTGCTCCTCCTGAACCCTGTGGGCAGCAAGTGGCCTCAGATGGTCTCAGTGGGCTTTGAAAGGGAAAGGGAGGGAGGCCTTGTCCAGCCTGGGGACAGTGGATGTACCAGCTCTGTGTCCACCTCCCAAAGCCTCCAAGACGGCCCGGCCCACCCTACCCTACCCCATGCTCAGCGCCAGCGCTATCCAGCAGAGTCCAGCACCTTCAACCATTGGTTCTCCACAGCCAAGAGAGAAGACGTGGCTGCTTGCTACATATGGCTATGGTACCTTGAGCTATTCCATCCGTGCCATAGTTCTGGACGGTTTGAGGGTTCTAGGGTGAATGCTCACCTGTAAGACGAGGTCTGAGTCCGCATGTTTTCCAATTGTGGTGCTTTTATTTAGGACAAAAAAGCCCTCTGCGCTCTTGAGGTAGGCCTTCATTGTCTATGCTTCTCCTAAAAAAGATTTCAGAAAATATTTTGTTAGAAAAGATGTCATCCTTTGGCCATCAGATCTAAATCCACCAAATTTAGAGCAAATGAAATCAGCCACAGCGTCATGAACAAAGGGAGAAGCTGGCAGAGATGGGTGATGGGCTTTGCCACCACCTTTAGGAATTTTTTTAAGAGTGTGTGTGTGTGTGTGTGTGTGTGTGTGTGCGTGTGTGTGTGTGTGTGTGTGTTGCCAGCCCTTAGCTTTGCATTCAGGACCTGGGCACTGTCCCTGAGATTTTTTTTTCTTCTCAAGGCTAGTGCTCTACCACTTGAGTCACAGTTCCACATCTGGGTTTTTGGTGATTTATTGGAGATAGTCTCAAGGACTGGCTTCCAATTATGACCCTCAGATCTCAGCCTCCTAAGTAACTAGATTATAGGTGTGAGCCACCAGTGCCTGTCTTGAGCATTTGCCAGTCATGGGGCTTGAATTCAGGGCTACTTTGAGCCACAGCACCACTTTCCAGTTTTCTGGTGGTTAATTGGATAAGAGTCTCACAGACTTTCCTGCCAGGGCTGGCTTCAAAACCACAATTCTCAGATCTCATTCCCCTGAATAGGTAGGATTACAGGAGTGAGCCACTGGTACCTGCTGGGCATCTTTTTTTCAAATCAGACACTCCAGTGTCTTCAAAAGCTCCTGACATACTGACAATAATCCATCTCACTTTGAATTCTGCCTGAGCCATGTGTGACTGCCTCCCTCTCCCTGCCAGGTCAAAAACCAATTGTCCCTGTTTCCTTCTCCATGGAAAAGTCACTGAATGGTACTATCTGCCTGACTACAGACAGAAATGGACTTCACCAACAATGTTTACAGAAGTGAGCCAGCAGTGCTCAGCTATTCACTCAGGTTTTTTTAAATCTGTCAAAACTTACAAAATGTCTTAACTATTTGTCAGCATGCCTACAAGAATACTTAACTGTCCAGTGCTGCACTTTCAGATGATGTACAGACACTAGCTGCAACCACTGTCATCATTCAGTGAAAACAAAAATGTTTTTACCAAAGGTGGAGAGAACTCCAAGCCTTGGCCAGAGAAGACTGGGGTAGAGATGATGTCTCCCACTACAGCTAACTTGTCTGTCATAAATGAGACAATGTGTTGGACACCTATAATCCTGGCTACTCAGGAGGCTGAGATCTGAGGATAGTGAGGCAGGAAAATCAGTGAAACTCATCGCCAATAAACTACAAAAAAATAGCTAGAGGTAAATCTGTGGCTCATGTGGTAGAGCACTAGCCTTGAGCAAAAGAAGCTCAGGGATGGTGCTCAGGCCGTGAGTTCAAACTCCAGGACAAGCACAAAAAAAGAAAGAAGGAAAGGAAGAAAGAAAGAAGGAAGGAAAGAAAGAAAGAAAGAAGAAAGAAGGAAAGAAAGAAAGGAAGGAAGGAAGAAAGGAAGGAAGGAGGAAGGAAGGAAGAAAGGAAGGAAGAGAAAAGATCTAGGGCAATAGTTCAGCTAGCAATCCATTTAAAGATTGGGGTTTTCTAGCTCTGGGCTGCTGGGGGCTTATGTCTGTAATTCTAACTACTCAGGAGGCTGAGATTTCAGGGTTATGGTTTGAAGCCAGCCTTGACAGAAAAGTCCATGAGACTTATCTTCAGTTAACCTCCAAAATTCTAGAAGTGGGGCTGTGGCTCAAGTGGTAGAGCACCAGCATCAAGTACAAAAACTCAGGGACAGGGCCCAGGCCCTGAGTTCAAGCTGAGGACCTACATATACACACACAGATTGGGGTTCATCACCCCCCCACAGAGGAAGGGGAGAAGAAGGGGTGCCTGCAGGACAAGGGGTCCCAACCCCAGCTGGAAGCTCACACTAACAACTCAGAGGGGAATCCAGGCCCCTTGTCTCTGGCCAGGAGTCTCCTATCTTTGCTTGGCACCATCGGGCCCAACAGCTTGCACATGGGCGGACCTCAGGCCGCTGGCAGTGGCTGGAGGTTTCGGGCGCAGCAGCTCAGTTAGTTCTCGCTGAGGAAAGGCCCAGGGCGCCTGGTCGGTGCAGCTCTCCGGTTCCCCCTGGGTGCCGGGGCTAGGTGGCCTTCGGTCAAGGGACCGCTCTGACCCATCAGGGGTGCCGGGGGCTCCGCCTCTGACCCCCGGAGGCGGTGCGGGCGGCGGCCTTGCTGGGACCGGAGGCCCGGGAGCCGGGAGCCTCCTCCCCTCCTCCCTCAGCCCTGGTCCTCTCCGCCCGCGCTGCTGCCCTTCCGGGAGCCCGACTCACCTGGCGGGAGGAGGGAGTCCACGCCCCTTCCTCGCCCGACGGCCCCCGCGGGCTTGGGCTCGGGAGGCGCCGGCCGCTGCTGCGGGGCGAGGCCTCCAGGCCGCGCTGCGCGGGAGTCTCCAGCCCGAGGCCGGCACCCCGTGAGCCGGCCTGGCCTGTGTACGCACGTCGTCATGACAACGCCGGGGCTGGGCGGGGCCCGAAGGTGGGGCGTGGCTTGAAGTGGGCGGGGCGTCACCTGCAGCGGAGCCACCTCGTGCCGCGTGGGGATGGCTCCAGGGTCCTGTGCTTTTCCTATTTCGCAGACGGGGAAACTGAGACTCGGAGGTCGCCGGGAAGAAGCACAGAGGGATGGTATTACCCCATGGTATTTTTAAAGTGGTGTTATCAGTAGTAGCCTGAGGGTGTTTGCAAACGTACAGCTCTCTTGTTCTGTCTGTTCTTACAAGCATCAGACTGAGGCTCCAGAATTGGCCCGGACCCATGGCTGTTCTTAAGTCCCCGGCTTGGGTGGGGGTGTCACAGGGCTGAGGGACAGGCGTGCCAGGAACGTACGCAGCTGCAGCTGCCTTACCTCAGCTACTTTACACCCCAGCTTCCTCCACACTGTACCTACAGGCCAATCTGCTTTCACAGGCAGAAGGAGGCCCAGGAGGCTCCAGAAAGCTAAATTTGAGCTGGGTGCTGGTGGCTCACACCTGTAAACCTAGCTACTCAGGAGGCTAAGATCTGTGGGACTGAGGTCTACAGTCAGCCAGGGCAGAAAAATTTGCATGATTCCATTCCCATTTGGCCAGCAAATAGCTGGTTAAGTGGTAGAGTGCCAACCTTGAGCTAATAAGCTAAGGGATAGTGCCCAGGCTCTGAGTTCAAGTCCCACTACTGGCACACACACACACACACACACACACACACACACACACACACACACACACACACACACACAGTTCAGTACTCTTTTCTGAGAAGTATGAACTGTGGCAGGTTTTACAGTGTCCATAACGAGTCCACACAGCAAGGAGGAATCAGGGAAATAGGTTTGGGGTACCTTAGGACATCAACTTCTCTAGCCAGTTTAGCCAGCCTCAATCCTAATCCCATCCCCTTCCCCCCATCCTCTCTACCATGTGTGTCTTCAGATAAACACTTGTCTCCAACATGTACCGTGACAAAGACTTTCTCATGACCAGACAGACCTCAGTGAAACCCAGTCCAGCCAGGAGCTGGCACAGGCCTTGGTCAAGGCATATGAATGCCCCTAATCAGACTAGATCCAAAAACTGTCTGTGTCCCCTCATGGCTATTACCCATCCCTTCCCAGAGGTAACCACAATCCTGACTTCCATATTCAGTTCTGTTTTGATTTTGAATTTCATGGTGTGTGTGGGGGGGGGGGGGCGGGAATCATATTAGTTCCATCTTCTGTGCGGTTGCTTTTGCTCCACAGTGAGTTTTGGGAGCCCAGTTGTACGTGTCAGGTCTCCATCATTCTCCCTGATGCCCCGGGTGTGCCACCTTGTTCCTGCTTAACTCTTTCCCACAAACTCAGCATCTCAGAACAGCCTTTCCCGGTTCCCAGAGTCATTGCACAGGAATCAGGCCTGTCTGGGCAGGGCCTCTTCTCAGGGACCTTCCCCAGCTGCAGTCCTGGTGGGCCAGAGCTGGGGTCTTAGCTGAGGCTGTGCTGGGGAAGGAGGTGGGGGGCTCCCCCTCCAACCTCCACATGATCCTGGCAGGGTTCATTTTCTCCAGGGCTGCTCTAAGGAGTCCAATTCCTTATGGGCCATGCCCTCGGCTTGGGGCTACATGGTCACTGGCTTCATCAGAGCCAATGAGAATCCACCGAGGAAGCCAAACCAGCAACCTGGAAGCTAGTATCTTATGTAAGGTAAGCACAGCAATTGAATCTCATTACTATAGTAGATTTCTATTGGCTCACAGTAAGTTATGGGGCCTGAGCCTGCTGAAGGGGTTTGCAGGGTTTGGACCCCAGGGACCATTGGGATTTGAGATAGTTGGGCTCCACTGTTTTATCATTTAATACAAGAGCTAGCCCCAGGGTACTGCCTTGTCAGCCCTGGTTTAGGAAGTGAGGGGAGAGAATTCTGCTTGGTTGCTCATAACCAACCCTGGGCTCCTTTGTTCCTTGACCCTTAGTGGCTCTTGGGACACCTCCAGCAACTGCCTGGCCTCTTTGGAGCCTCTGTGTCTCTTGCTGAATAGAAAATTCTAGAAGGTCTTGGTAGGCCTGAATTTCTGCCAGCGGCAAGCTGATGGAGCCCAGCTGCTCAGCAGTTTGTGATGACCTCACCCTCCTCACCTCCCTCACTTCTGGAGGAGAGTTCTCACAGGTCTCCCTGTGTGCTTTGCTCCTCTCCTCCGCTCCCGTGTGCAGCGGTTTTAGTGTTATGTCAGGGCATTTGAGCATACGCTTTTATCTCAGGCAGCTCACCCTGAGTCTGGCGAATGTCCCCACTCAGGTGTCCCCGGAACCTCCTGTCCTTTGGTCTAAATATGGTCAGCCTTCCTCTGTCCTTGCTCCTTCTCTCTTTCCTGGAGAACAACTGTCCTTTTTTTCCAGTCCCTCTTATAGTCCTCCCTTTCTTGGTTTGAGCTGTCCTCTCCTGAGAATCCATTGTTCTCTGACACCTTGGAAGCTGGGTCTGATTTGGATCACTGTCAAGAAGTAATGAATGACTCATCCCTGAGTCATGAAAGGCCCCAGAGCCCCACAGAGGCCTGGGGGTGGGGGGGGAGCAGAGGGGAGGGATGGCTGGAGACAGAGAGGGAGCCAAGAGGTTTGAGTAGGAAACATCCCCAAAGTGTTAGAGCATTGGTGCCCAGCTGGTGGCACTAGTGGGAGCTGGTGGGAGAAAGGTGGTGAAAGTTGGCTATTAAGAGTCATGCCCTTGAGGGGCTGGGAAGGTGGCTCAGTGGTGCCTTGCATGCATGAGGCCCTGGGTTTGATTCCCCAGCACCACATAAGCAAAAAGAAAAAAAGCTGGAAGTGGCGCTGTGGTTCAAGTGGTAGAGTGCTAGCCTTGAGCTGAAGAGCTGAGGAACAGTGCCCAGGCCCAGAGTTCAGGCCCACGACTAGACCAACCCCCCCCCCCAAAAAAAAAAAACCCCAAAAGAGTCACGCCCTTGGGCCGGGAAGGTGGCTCAGTGGTAGAGCACTTGCCTTGCATGCCTGAGGCCCTGGGTTCGATTCCTCAGCACCACATAAGCAAAAAGGAAAAAGCCGGAAGAAGTGCTGTAGCTCAAGCGGTAGAGTGCTAGCCTTGAGCTGAAGAGCTGAGGGACAGCGCCCAGGCCCAGAGTTAAGGCCCCACGACCGGACCCCCCCCCCAATAAAAAAAAAGAGTCATGCCCTTGAAGGGGTATTGGGATTCTGGTCTGTTTCCTATGTGGCCATTGTGAGACATACAGCTTTTGTGTGTGTGTGTGTATTTTTTTTATTGTAAAAATACTGTACAGAGGGCTACAGTTACATGATTAAGGTAATGAGTACATTTCCTAACAAGCATTGTTACCCCCTTTGTTTTTCCCGTACCATCCCTTCCCTCCCCACCTCCCCAACACCTCCCCCACCCCCAGATATACAGCTTTCCTCCAGCACACAGTCCATGTATCCCACCTCACCACAGGTTCAAATCCATAGAAAATCTGAAGCCTTTAAAGTCATTCCTGAGCGAAAGCAAACTTTTTCCTCCTGGTGCCATGGATAAAATCAGGTGTATCATCACTAGGAGGCTTTCACAGCAAGGGGGTGGGGGCTGCTGGTCAGCAAAGGCTCTGAATCAGGGACAGGCAGGCCCTTGGGGACCAGGAGGGAGGAGGTTGAGGTGGGAAGAAGCTGCTGAGGGAAGACAGGTTAACTAAGCAGAGTGTGTGGGGTGGAGCCAGCGCTGACACTCCTGGGAAGGCCCACCTGTGTGTCTGGCTTTCACAGTGCATTAGAGACTCTTGATTAATTACTAGAGGGATCACTGGCTTAATTAATTACTGGTGAGATGGGGCAGAGTGACAACCCAACATGACTTCAGCATGAAAGCAAAGTCTCAGGCTACCCCACAAGGCTCAGGTGATGATGATTTTAGCTTCTCTAAAGATTAACAATGCTTTAAGATATGTATCTAACATTAGAGAGCTCTTTTTGCTTGCTTGTCACCAAAGCTGACACAGCTCCAACCCTTACATCCATTCCACTTTGCATCCTAAAGGGAATAGTGAGTGCTTTTGTCTTCTGTTTTCCTAGACAAGTACAAAGATCTCCCAGTTTCTCATTTTCTCTGGATTGGATTACAAGCCTATTCTTGAATCAGTGACTATGACTCAGGGGATTGCTTTTCTTTGATTAGGCAGGCTTTCGGGTCATCTGTACCAGCTTTGTAGCTACAGTTGGATTCACCGCTAGCACAGAGAGAGAGCCTGGGAGATTCGGCTGAGACCGGGAGACAAAATTATCATTCTTTGTTTCTGCGGATCTGAGTAGGCTTCATACCTCACAAGGGTGGAGCCTTACAGTGCCTGGCTTGTGCCACCCAGCCCAGTGTCCTCAAGGCACATTGTTGTATTGTGGGTCAGAATCTGCCCTGTTTAAGGTGGAATAGTAATAATAAGCCATATGTTGTTTTCTCCAGTCATCCATCGATCCTCTTGGGTGATTATTAGCTAAATTCTTCTTTAGTTTCTTGTTGGGCGCTGGTGGTTCTTACCTGTAAATCCAAACTCCTCAGGAGGCTAAAATCTGAGGGTCATGGTTTGAAAACAGACCCTGCAAACAAATACAATAGATTCTTATATCCAATCAACCAGTGAAAAACTGGAGGTGAGGTATGGTTTAAGTAGTACAGCACCAGCCTTGAGCAAAAATGCTAGGTGTGAGCTTAAGGCCCTGAGTTCAAGTCCTAGTACCAGCACACATACAAAAAGGTTTACCAGACATTTATCATCAAATAGTTTGTTCAGGAAAGGTAGAATACATTCTTTCCCTTTATGTGTTAATATTCAGAGTAAAAAGCAATCACTGAAAGTGATTAGTGCACTTTTGAGATATCATTAGTGAT